CTAAATCTATTATCATATTCAACCAACATTACTGTCTATATTAGAAATAAAGCTCTTTTTCTGTTAAAACTTATAAGAGGCAACAAGGTGTTTTGGTTTTTGGATATTACACAGTTAGCTAACAGTACGGTCATGTCCAATGAAGGTAAATAATAGTTTTGTTGGATTTGGATCTTTATATTCTCTAAGGGATATTCCAGTATGATTTATCGAACATATATACTGCCTGTTGCATTCAGTTTCTTGGCTTAAAGGGACAGATGCGTCAATTTTTTTTTCAGTGATAATGTTCACAGCTTACCAACGAAATTTGTGCCCTAAAATCGAAGTCTCTAGAGTAATTTCCGTTTAAAAGTTAAAAAGATGACTCGTCATTTTAAGAAACCCTGTGATATATAAAACAGATCTATATAGAAATAGAGCGTAAAATTTTTACTTTATAAAGGAATTAAGCGATTTTCATATAATTCTGGTTCTTTTGAAGACTATTTACATATATTCAAGAACCATGTGAACCCCCGAAAATGGCGAATCTATCCCTTTAAAGTATATCATATACTTTTCAACCATTAAGAAAAAATCGCATGGAAGCGTTTTTAAATATTTTCTCTATCTTCACTAAAAGACGCGTATTATGACAAATGTCGTCCAGTTGGAGTGTTTTGTCAGGTGTGTTATGATTATCAGATTTTACATATAATAAGGTTTCAATTCCAAGATTAAAATCTCTTATCCCTGCGATCAGATAAAACCCGCATATTATAAATGAAAACCTAGTATATTAGGATTAGGCCTACTTGTTCAGTCGATAAACCAAATAAAAGAGAAATATCTTGATATTCTAGAGTGGATAGATGGATATACCATAAAAACTACATAATTATTTCTAATTATGCATTATAACTTAGTCGTGAACAGCTGTTCCACCTACCGAGATCAGTGAAACAATACCAGTATAATCTAGACTATTACATTCTACATGGTTCACTGGTTTTCAGACAACTGAAATATCTCCCATATATGTCACCAATTACGACATTATGAGTAAATATCCAGATTATAAAGTCAAGAACTATGATTGATGTATAACGTTGGAATTTGATTGGAATTTTAAAATTGGAATTTCCCTTTTGGAAATGTGGTTGTAACGTGGTGATTTGTTTTTTGCAAAGAAAGTTTTGTCTCACGTAGGAAATTTGGAAACAAGATAGTGCATGAATTTGACACTTAAATCACTTAAAAAGTTGATTTAGCTGGTGCTAATGATAGAATGCTCAACTATGGTTTGCAGCTATTTAATGCTGTCATAAGAAAAGACTGCACAGCAAAGCTGTTTATAGACTTATTGACAAAGCTTTGCAGTAATTTGGTGCTGTTATAAGAAACTTTGGTAGTTTTCTTATATAGCTGTTTTGTAAAGGACTCTGTAAACATAACAATGCCTGGAGAAGTTTTTTTTTCAACTGCACAATACAATCCTTTATATAAGATAACTGTGTGGTAAAACATCAGACCGCGAGGCTGTAGATACGACACAGTTTCTAAGGGATAATTTCATAAAAATTTGTGATTTCTGTTATAACTTTTCCATTTTGATAGCAAACATGTCGTGTCTACTTTTCCTTCTTACCTTTCCATTTCTAATAATTTTTCAATACTTTGTGAAGAAATCGACCATTTTTAACAGGCATTCTAAGGATAAAGAGGAATCAAAAAAGGTGGAATAACATGACAGAATGCGATGACCAAACGAAAACGTCTGGTCAGTACGCGGCTGAGTGAAAGATTGGAACTACCAGCTTAACTGAACTGTGAATGAATCATCGGCGCATTTAAATCTCTCTGACACATACTTTATAATAATATTATGGATATTCAGTTTATAGAAAGAGCACAACAGTTTTACATGTGATGGATGTGTTGCTCAAGGTCTTGCTGGGAAGATTGCGTTCGTTTTTTGTCGACTGAGGATCATATTAAGCAACTCCTTTTGAATCAGAAAACATGCTAAACTATTGAGCTGTACATGGTGCATTTTCCATGAATTAAATTCCAACCGTACTAAGCAATTTACTCTTTAAACATCTTCTTGCTAGCCCTGTTGTTAAACATTGCCTTTTGTGTCTGTTAAGTTAACGTAAAGATCAATGACGGGATTCTCACGTTTAGTTCCCCAGTTCTTCAAAACTTTTTTTCGTGTTTAGTTTATCTGAAGAGCAGCGGAATCGAATGAAAAAAATCCGCTTGAGAAAACAATGACCACATAAGGTCTAATTGTTTTTGTGAAGGTTATTTCTTTCGAATTCTAATTCAACGAGTAGTATTGGTAGCAATTGAAACCTTATTGAAAATGCAGAGACGTCAAAACGTGTGCTCAGGGTTGAATGAAAATCTATGAACCAGGCCGCGTATATCCTAGGATCGTTTCAAGAATACGTGGCCTGGTCTTGCTTGGCATCAGAGTGATTAGAACACCCAACAGATCCTAGATGGATTCGTTAACGAATTGTGTTATCATCTTGTAGACCATCTCCAGGGCCTGTGACTCATCCGACTCCTAATCATATGACACCGCTTGGCACTCCCTAATCAATATCAAAATAGGTTGGTTTAACCACTTGATTAGTATTAATGACTCATTTTAATAGATTCGTTTCGATATTAAACCATTAGGCAATGTAGTACTGTTATAAGTATAGATAATATCATTTAATTGTTCACATACTGTTCAACTTCTTATTTTACCATTAGATTATCGTACGTTTCCGATAGGTGGTTGTCATAATCTATCATCCAAAATTTATTGTGGTCTTGAATATCCCTTGTCAAGTAGACCTTCAATCTTCATTGGTTTCGAATGCAGGCTTCAAATCCGCCATCATTAGAAAGGCTTTGTGTTCAATAGTTAAATTTATTTCAATATAATCTATTTGTTAACGTAACTGTATTATTAATGCATAGAAAGTAGGCCACACAATTTAGTATATTCGTAGACTACTGAAACAGTTTCGCTGACTTAGTTTTAAGTCATGTTCGGATTGACTATAGATGTTGAGATAAAGATTAATTTTAATTTCGAATTTTGGAGAAGGAAACTGAAAAAGATTGGGAAGATTTCGAAGAAACTGGAAAAACATCGCCTGAATAACAAAGAAATAGTTCTGAGCTGTATGATTCAATTGTAAACGTAAAGTGTTGATGCAAACTTTTTAGGATCATTTGCCATGTTAAAGGCGTTGTGTGATAGCTATTAGATTTGAGTACAAGTGTTTCAAACTGGTGGTTTCCAAAACATTTTGTGGTAGTTTGTGCTATTAGATATTGGTGAGGTTTAGAACTTTGCAGATCTTGAACGTTAATAACAATTATTAGACGAGTTTTAATAAAGAATTTAATTTCTGTTAAAAGTTATAGGTGTTGTTTATTCGATCGCAGCAGCAGACAATACCTCCGCGTAATTCTTAATAATTTATGAATAATAATAGTCAAAATCAGATATAAATGTAATTAATATTAATATCAATACGGTATATGGAAATAAAAATATATATATTGTATTTATGATGTAGGGCAACTCAAACTACCGTAAACCAATCGATACGCGAAACAACGTAATGTCGCAAGCTGGTAGAATTAGCTGATGTAGATGACAAATTGCCATTTTGTTTCATTCAAACTTTATTCTGCTCTGGAGTGATCTGTTGAACCTTGTAAAAGTTACTGCGTCAAATCTTTGAACGGATCTTTGCTTGATTGTGTTGTAACAAAATACAAATTTCTAATTGCTGGAAGTTAAATTGGGATTTGTTGGGTGTGGATCATGTAACAGTTTGATTAGAGTGTGTTATTTTCCATGCAACTAAAACTTTTTTATTAATCGAAGAAAGAAGGTTTGTGACCTGTCAAGGACGTCTGGTTTACAACCTGCGCCCACACAACACGACACACACGACGGATTTCGATAAGGTAATCGAGTTCGATACTTTTGACTTCTCAAATGTTGTTTTGAGGTATGACAGCTTTGATTCTGAAAAGGAATACCTAGAACATAAAATGTCCATAAAAGGTGAAGAAAATTGGTGTTTGATTTGTTCCGGGTCAGTTTTCGGCGAAGGTGTTAATCTCCTAGGAAAGGATGCCGAAAAGTTGAGAACTCAGTTTCACAAAGTTCTTAAAGCACCTGTTCCCAAGAAGCCTCCTTCGGAGAATGTTTGTAAACGTTGTGACAGAAATATCCGAAGATTGGCTGACACAAGAGGGGAAGCTGCAGAAAGGGAGATAGAGTACATGCGCAAAACATACCGGAAGACGGTTCAGGAGTATAATGCTAAAGCGGAAATACGTAAGCAGAAACTGCGTAAAGCGGCCGAAGCATTTATGCTGATAAAACCTAAAGAATCCGAAGCCGAACCAGAGAAGAAGCTTTCAACATTCGCCTCTAAATGGAAATTCAAAGCTAAATCTAGCGCCGCTACAACCAAGATACCACTTCCGGTATCGAGCGGAAACTCAAGTCCTTCAAGATCTAAACCACAGTCAGGGGAAACTACTCCGTCTGGTGAATTATACGAAAGTAATAAATCACTTTCTTTCAAAATAGCGTCTAATGAAAAAAAGAATGACACTGATCTGGCAGAAGATAATGCTCCTTCAGGTAAAAACTTTTATTATACACAATTTTAATCCTATCATCAAAAGGGATGTATTAATACTTCATACCGGAACTTGTTGCTGAACATATTTTACTCAAATTTCCCAATCTTAATCATTGTCGTTATGAAACCACATAATCTTGCGTTGGAATGATCGAAGACATTAGTGGGCCGCCAGCCTCCCGGGACTTGGGGTACAACATTGGGGGTAAACTGGCTTTTTTTTACAACTGTCGACTGTCGAGGTCAACAAAAACGTAAATTGACAAATCCCCCACTGTAACCCTACTGAAGGACAGTCTCTTCTTTGGCTTGGAAATGTCACTGATTACCCGGAAGTGACCATGGTATATGCAAGGTCATCAGCATGAGGGCATGTGATACTACCTCTTAGAATGGACACCAAGCCTCAAAATTTCAATTTTTTGGTCAATCTAAGAGGTAGTATTCATTTAATATTACTATATGACTCATATTCAACATTATATTTTGTTTTTTATCTGATAACAACAATAGTTTTCCATTGAATAATTTTGAACATATTGATTTATTTAAATGTTTAAAATACATATTTATGTATCAATTTTATATAACGTAGTACCGGCAATTGTTACATCAAATGGAGAAAACCAACATACACACCATATTTCATCATCCTTCATCGTTACTTTTTACAACCAAGATTTGTTAACCTTATCATTCTAAGGCATCTCGGAATATACCTTAAGTTCCATTCACACAATCCCAGCGTTTAAAACAAAAGAAATTTCCCTTCCCCGAAACCTAAATTAAATACAGACCGAAACACTTGGCCGAATATGAATTAATCTTCTGAATCTATGGAATTAATGAATTTCGTTAACCCAACTTTCCTAGCCACTCTTTTTATTGGCTACTAGATAATAACGTATTAGACTGGGATAAACATCGGGTTGGAACAACCCCTGGCCCCCTTTATTTCGCCATAAACAATTTCATCAGCCAATAAGTCTTCGATCACAACGCTTTTAGTTGAATCCAAAGAGTAAAAGCCTTTATCATTGAATTTCATGGGCTGAAATTTAAACAGGACCATGTCCTTGTGTATTGGGCCTAATTCTGATCCATGTAAAATATAGAGTTAATTATTTATATTTATTATTACTAGGCATCGAATAAGTGATATATTTGGCAGATATCATTTATCATCTTTACTTTTTAAATTGCATTTTCTTCGTCAAATTCGGTAGGACGCATTTTATCTCCTTTTCCTTAGTGAAGTTAGAGCCCTGAACGTATATTTTACCGGAGTCGAAACTCGAGATTTAAGCTCAGCTCAGCGACTATATATTATAGTATATAAATAATTGTAATTAAAAATAGTAAATGAAATCTAAACAAATCTAGGACTACAATATATTGTTATTGTTGTTATTATTGACAATATTTTATCGTGTTGACATGGCAACAGTTTTTAAATATTGATTTTCATCTTGTCAAAATAATTATAATCATTTTGCTCCAATGAAAGTTTCAAATTTATGTTGAAATTGCAAACACCTGTTACTCTCATTCCAACTTTGAATTCATAATAGATTATTGTGTTATAAATATATTAAAAGTTGTAATAATGATTTGAGGCCATTTTGTCCTTGAAAACAATTTTTTTTTTCAAGAGAACTTTTTGCCCTTGCACAATTTATATTAGACTTGAGCGATATTTAGAATTGAGTAGTACATATCACAAACATAAGACAATATTATTGAATAAATACACCTCTTTAATTTTTATATACATTAAATTTATTAGAGATAAGTTTGTTATTCATTTTTTTAGTCGACTCAATTCAATGATAAATGCCAGTAGGTTTGGCCATGGACCTGCTAGTAGTTAATATCTGCGAGAACCATTTCGTTAATTTTGTAATAATTCGGTGGTTTTTTTATTAGTGTTAAATAGAGGATATCCATGCCCTGTTACGATCTTCGGAAACTTGCTTAGGTTCCCTCGTAATATCTAACGTTCGTGATGTAGTTTTTGGTTAAAATCTCCCCTTTCTTAAATTCTAACATCAACTGTTTGTTAGTTTCAAATTGTTCCCCAATTATTATCATGTATAGCGTCTGTAACCAACCTGTCGATTGTTCTTTTTTCAAAATAACAAGACATATTCTGAAGATGTTCACGGATGTTCCCAAATGCACTATACTCAGCCATACGAAACTATGTATGGTTCTCACGTGGAAATAACACACACGAACGTAGTTCACAAGCATTTTGAATCTCTACCTCGACTTATTGAAAAAATTCTACATTGTTTAACTAAGCCTCCAAATCACAAGTCTTAGTTGAAATGTTATAGCCTTTTTAAATATTCGACTTATTAAGTCGAAAAAGTGATTCAAAATGCTTGTGAACTATGTTCTTGTGTGTTATTTCCATGTAAGAACCTTACGGAGTTTCATATATCGTCGGTGTTCTGATGAAACCTTGAAGGTAAAAAAATTTTAAAATTATCTATTGGTACCATAATATAGCATTTTCAAAGGGGCATCTTACATTAAATCCTTATACAAAAACAACCAATCAAATTTCATTTATTACCTTGGGCTATATACAAAACATCTAAATCAAATTCACCTCAAAATGTTCTAATGAACCCTCCTATGTCATATGTTTTGATAACTTCAAGTTGACTTCTGCAAAATCTTCCTTAATGTAAATAGCTTTCAGTTCAATTTGTCTGAATGATTTCTTATCAATTAATAACCTTGTACAGCATCATTCAAATTTCTGTAAAAATTTATTCAAAAATTTCTGAAAAGTGTAAAAAAAAAACATTCGCTAAAAATTGTGTTAGAGATAAGAAGTTTTATCACGACAAACTGAATTATGGGAAAGTTTTTTTGTTCTCCTGAAAAATTATCAACTTTAACATACAGGGTTTCATCAGAACATCGACGATATATACTTACAAAGTAGCGCCTAGTTTTAACATATATAATAGGAAACTTTTGACAAAGGAAAATCAGATTCAAGCAACCAAGATATTGACATGACAAATATACACTCCTCAGTGGCGGAGCAAAAAGGGGGCAGAGGGTTAACTCGCATATACGACAAGGTGATGATCTGTTGATCTGTTGATAATTGCATACCATCACTGTTTCAAAAACGTGATTACAGAACGTTATCATTAAAAGAACAGGTGCACCATTTTGGGTTTGATTTTAGTTTTGAAAATAAGATTGAGAAAAATGGCGCACCTTAACTGTACAAATGTATATATAAGACCAACATACCTTAATGTTCCTCAAATTTGTCCTTGGTATTCGCCATTTTTAGTTTCTATAACATGTTTTCTAGCAACTGCATAGACCTGTAATGCACACTATTACGTTTGAAAGCTTCCTCAATGAGAAACAGCGTGTGGGTTTGAATTCTCTTCTCTAAACCAGATTCATTAAAATCAATTAACTAAAATTGTTGTAATTACTCTATAGCAATATCCAGACATCCAGAGGGTTGACTGTTTTAATTACGAGGCCATTGTTGTTAACGTGGTCTGATTTGATGGGCGGCGATCAATCGTAGGAGAGGTTAACATTTTGTTCTTTGCGGTTCACAATGCAGGAACAGTGTGAAAGCGTCTTGTGAAATAGTATTTTTCCACTTTGCGGAGGTTTTCTTTGAATTTGTGCGGTCATTGTATTCAAGAACAAATTACATTTGTGTCGTATATAGGGGCTTGGCATAATCGGGTCTGAAGGAATATTTAAATATTATGCGTCAAAATAAATTGGCCTATACTCTATGTGTGTTTTTAACGTGTTTTGGTCTCAGATCGAAGCTGGACAAATTTGGAGAAAATAAAAGGGATAGATTTCAGTGCCGTCGTCATCGCTATTGAGAACTCGGCAATAACATCTTGCTTGAAGAACTCAGAAGGTGCATCATCAGGAACCAGTTCTCTCTTCAACCCTTTGTGTTGATCAGGTTTTGGAAACCGTTGTGCTGTGTTGGTGATCAACTGCCTTTTTGAAATCGTTATCAAGAATTTGAATTTGTCATCATGTCTTGTTTATTTGCGGTGTTTATTTATCCATTTGTTTACATTGTTGATAACTGCTTGGCTAAATTTGGCATCTATCTTCCCTAGAAGATCGACTTTAGAATAGATTAAAGTCTTCATAAGGTTTAGTAACCTTATGATTATACGAACTTTGAAAAAAAACTTGAAAGGACGAGTTCGGTTACAGTGATATACAGGACATACTGCTGTTTGGTGATATTTTCTGAAAAGATAATATTCACAAACTTCGTAATTTACGTAAATTCTAATCTTTTTCAAGACCAAGACATTTCTCTGTGTAACATTTGCAGTTCTTCATAAATTTTCGTCATTCGGTGAAGGATTGCAGATAATTCGCGATTTCTTTGAATAGATATAAAAAATTCAAAGATATAGAAAAACTGATATTAAGGTGAAAAGTTATTATTATTTAATTTTAAGCTGTAAATACGAAACCAAGATGTATTATCGACCAAGCCTGATGAAAAACTTGAAAATCATTTGGAAGAAATTTTTCGTCCCACTTTTATTGAAAATGTGTATTTAGACTTTGAAAATGGATCATGGTTAGGCGGGTTACAAACATTTTCTACAGAGAATGACAGATGACAAGATACTATAAGACTTGTTTCGAATAAAGATTTTTAAGATATCGGAGACTCAAAATGACCAACAAATCCGACGAGAACTGGTGTTTAGTTTGCTCTGGTTCTGTATTTGGTGAAGAAGTTTTAGTCACTGGAAAGGATGCTGAGAAATTGAAGCAACAGTTTAACAAAGTCTTGAAAGCGCCCATCCCAAAAAAGCCTCCTGTTGAAAATATCTGTAAAAAATGTGACAGAAATATCCGAAGATTGGCAGACTCTGCTGGTGAGGCTGCAGAAAGGGAAATAGAGTACATGCGCAAGACATATCGGAAGACGGTTCAAGAATATAATGCTAAAGCGGAACTACGTAGACAAAAGTTGCGCAAGGCAGCTGAAGCTTTTCTTCTGGGTAAACCAAAAGATCAAGAAAAAACTGATGACAAACTTTCTGTGTACGCTTCGAAATGGAAATTCATGGCCAAATCAGGTGCTGCCACGTCTACAATATCACTTCCAGACTCGAGCGGGGGTTCCAGTCCGTCATGGTCGAAACCTGCTTCAGGGGAAACAACCCCGGTTTTAGATTTTAAACAAAATTGGGTCAAACAAGTGGAATTTCACATGCCAGTTGATGATAACTCTGATTATTTAGATGAAAACTTCACAATGGTAGAAAATCCTGATATTGTAGATGATCCAGTTACGTTCGACAAAAACTCGAATGAAAATTTTGAAGAATTGATAAAAAATTCAGAAAAACTGGACGAAAATTCGGAGATGTCGACGAAAGAATATGAAAAAATAAATGAAAATTCTGAAATGTCGACGAAATATTCAGAAAAACTAAATGGAAATTCTGAAAAACTGAATGTAAACTTAAATACTTTGAATGAAGTATCTGCTGTTTTGAAAGAAAAAGCAGATAAATGGAATAAAAGTGCTGTCGAATTCGAAAAAGAAAATCCTGGCAAACTGATGGTAAATTTTAATGAAAGTACATCTGACACATTGAATGAAAATGTCAATAATTTTGACAAAAACTTCGAAATGCTGGTAGAAAAATCTGCTAAATTGGATGAAAATGCTGAAAATGCTGATGACAACTTCGAAAAAGTAAAGGCAAAACCTGATGATAATTCTAATACAACTGCAACTTTGGTTGCAAAGTCAGATGAATTAAATGAGAATTCTGACAAATTGAAGGAAACACCTACACAATTAAATGGAAAGGCTAATTTATTTGGTGACAACTACGAAAAAGTAAAGAAGAAATCTGATGAATTGAATGGACACTTTGATAAATCAAATGCAAAGGCAACACCACTTCCAAAGTCCAATGAATTAAATGAGAATTCTGAAGAATTCAGCACTTATGATAAATCGAAAGAAAAATCTTTTGAATTGAATGGACACTTTGATAAGTCAAATGCAACTACAATATCCACAACATCGGTCTCAATATCTTATGAATTGAATGAGAATTCTGACAAATCCAGCACCTCTGATAATTTGAAAGAAAAGTCTGAGAAATGCCAGAAAAATTCTAATGAAACAAACATCAATTCCAATAATTTGGAAGATTCTGCAATTCCTCCAGGTAATCAACAATAGCAGCCAAAAATCTTTTCTAAAAAATTTAACTGTTTTTTTTTCAAATTCTTTGAAGAGCACATACTTACTATCTATTTTGTGTAACGAATCGTTGAGTAGTCGCTACATGATTACTTAGGGTATGAATGTCAACATGGATTTGTATTTGCAGTATTGGATAAGGGGGCTTTTCTAGAAAAAAGATGATTTTAACTTCTATTCATAAAATCGGTTTTTTTGTTCGATTGAATAATTTGAATTTTACTTGAGGTTGGATTGTAAAGAGGTTTTCTAAATTTTTTTATGTGAATCGGGTACACCGACAACATCATTATACACCATTTCAATTTTTAGTAAAAACTCTGTGGTTCTTCCACAAAAACTAAGCGTTTGATGACGTCACTATCGCAAAAGCTGCTAATGATATGTAAGGAACTTTGCATTAGTAACGTCATAAAATGCCTATGTTTCAGTGGAATTGCAAGAACCATGGACATTTGAGTGAAAATTGGCAGGATACAAATCTATGCTATGAGTGTCCCTGACACACTTAAAAAGTTTATAAAACCTTCTTACAATCTCGTTATTATTTTAGAATAAGGCATTAGAATCATTCGGTCAACAGTTAGTTAATTCGAGTAAGTCGAACGTATCGTACCATGATAATGTCCTAGATTATACAACTCGTGATGTTTATTGATTTCGTACCATATTAGTAACATATGATTATTCATGCGTTATGATAGAATATTCACAATTTAATATTGTTTCTCTAAAATGTTCATAAAATAGCTATTTAAGATAGGTCTTGACTAAATCAAGTATCACCCGGTGCCATTTTACGACTGATTTTGTCAACTAGGCATCCGTATCAAAGAATCACCCATATTTTGATATTTCGATTTGCATAGCAACGTAGAGAGATGTTGAAATGTCTAATAAGACGCGAAGTTATTTAAAAGTTTAGTACTATAAATGCAGCATATTATGTATCTCTTGAATGTTTCGTAATGTTAAATGCAAAGGCACCAATAATTATTGTTATTTTTTAGTATTCATGACAGTAACTAGATCAAACGTGAAAGACAAGAAGAACATAGCTCAGAATATTTCCTTAAAATCCATAATTATATACTTTTAATGTATCATTTCAGAAGCGAAAGTTGCCCTGATAGAAAATGAAGATGGTGGTGAGAACAATATTACTATTGCAATTGGAGGGGTAAGATCCTTTATATATCTTATTTCTTGTGTACTGCACATTGTCGTCTATTATATGGAAATAGGATTCTTTCACGTCAAAGCTGTCAGTGATGGCACCCTACATGGCGTTGCCCATCTTCTTTAGCCCACAAAGTGCAGAAAAGTAGGACGTAAAACTCCATTCATTTCATTTTTCATTTCACGTCAAAGCTGTCTACCAGAAACTAGGTGATTCCTCTGATAGTTATATTGGCCATAAAATTTTTATTGATTAGGCAAGAGTCAGCAAGTTTTGTAACAAAATTCAGAGAAGATGCAACTTTTATTCACTGTACATCTTCACAATGTCAAGCTATACCGAACTTAGCAGCAATAGGGCCATAGTCACCTTTCTTGTATCACAGAAGTATGTAAATGCAGCGATACGATATGATTGTACGTCAGTGAATACAGTCAATCAGAACTCTTGGCAAAAAGTCTAAAAACAATTTTTCTGTCAAGGGCACATTGGTTGCATTTGCTGCCGCATATTCCAAATCGCTGCAATCGATGATAGCAGAATAGTGGCTATTGTAGTCAAGTTCCGGTGCGCACCGAGCACCAAAATTTACTTAACGGATATAATTTTTGAGCAATTACCTTTTAATTTTTACAATTATCAAATAATAAATACCCCTCCCTATGCTAAGTCTGGACAGGTATTGTTTGTGACCATTATAGTGGTTACGATTTAATTTGAGATGCACCGACTTTAATTATCCCAATCACCATAACATGATGTGTGGGGTGGCCGACATTTAAATTATTCCCTATTTCGTTGAGGCATTTTTGATTTGCATCAGCCCACGTGATTTCGATCAGGTCTTTATGTATATTGAAATTATAAATAATTATCGGTCTACATTGAAAACGAGACGTCAATATATTCAGCTGTTTAACGTGTAGCATCACCAGTTAGTCATAGCCGACTATAGTTGACTATATATAACATTATTCAACCAGCAAACATTTGTAGCTCGTAGTCGTGTTTCTTCCCAGGCTATCTTGTTAGACTCTTCGTTGGATTTTTGGAACTTGACTCGTCTTGAAAAAAAAGTTGGATATCTTCGTACTTGGACATTAACTCAACCAATAACAATGCCTTTTTCCTTATTTAAAAAGAAAACAGCCGAAGATGGTGTCAAAGATGGAGTAAAAGGAGAAAATGTCAAACTCAACGTCAAAGATGGCGGTGCTAACACCAACACAGAAGGTGGTGACGTCAACGCAGCTAACGATGACGTCAACACAAACACTGCTGATGGAGGCATTGTAACTGTCGGTGTAACAACAACCAGTGGTAAAACGGATGAAGATGCTGGATCAAAAGACGAGAAGAAGAATGAGAAAACTGACGACAAGGAGAACGAGAAAAATAGCGAGGAGAAAAATGACGACAAGAAGAACGATGTTAATACAGATGATGGTAACTCTGACGTAAAAGATGAAAAGGTAAGATCGGTGAAAGATGCAGTGAAGGAGATTGAAGGCGAAGATGGAGGTGGTGATAAATCAACAGTCAACGGTACCGTCATGGTAGGTTACCGTTATTTATATTCTTATTCAATTGTACAATCCTTGATATGGCCTTAATGTTTTATGACTTTAGAATGGCCCAAGCTGTTTTATTGAACATAATTTTGTTGATAGACCTCTCTAATGTTTCTGATAGCAGTTTTATTAACTGTTTTAGAACAATTGGTATACGAAGATTTTCGAGATGCAAGTTTTTTCCGTCATACCTATTACAAACACTGGATAAAACTTGCCTTTGTGTAGTCCAGTTCTACAGGAATAGTAGAATGTTTCTGTAATCTAGTATTTCCAGACGTTAAATCATTGCTTATAATATTCAAAATAACTGCTCATGATATGTTTATTCAAAAATCGTTGAGGCAGACTTAATGTCAGTTTAATTTGACATTTTGAAATGGATGTGTTTAATCCACATTCATTAAATAGAAATGAATACCATATCGATTTTCATATGAACAGATGGTTATTCTTGTTAGTTTATATACCGTTAGTCAACAATTCAACAAATTATTTTATGCATAAAAAGTTTATTACGAGGACTGAATATAGTCTGAAAATATTGTCCATCGAAAATGATGAAAAAATATGAAACCTTTTGTTTAAAAATGGGAAATTTACGCCCTCAGACAGTCTAAATAAAATTTGACCAAACTTTCGTTCCGTTTGTTTTTTAAATTTTATTATAGCCACTCCAGTTAGGGTCTAAAAACGGGCCTCCTGAACATTCGTCACGATTACCTTTTAACCTAACCTGATTACCCGTGCTCTAACCAATCAAATGTCTGCCCTCTCCAGCACTGGGGTTTTATTCGGTCAAAAGGTTAATGTTCCGTCTTAAGAACCTCACTGTATTGGCTACATAAAAAAAACGGAACGAAAGTTTGGTCAAATTCTGATCAAACTGAAGTGGTTTTATCAAGATTAAAATCTAATAAAAAACGGAACGAAGTTTGGTCGAATTTTAACTTGACTGTCCCTCAGACAGAATTATGTCAAAGCTCGCATTAAAAATATCCAGCTTAATCCAGAATTTAGAACAAGTACCTTATACTTTTCCAGAAATCAGAGAAGAACAGTGCCAAGGGTGGTTCAGAGCATTCAAAAGAAAAGTCACCGTTGATTGAAAAGGAAAGTAATGTCAAAGATCATGGGCCGGGTGTTTTGTGTTGCAATATTTTGTAAAAGTGGAATCGTATACATAGTTAACATTTCTTAGTCTTTCAAACTACCATTGATATTATTAGGTTTTAGGTAGAAAACGTGTGGGTGTGATCGATTCGTGGTCTCGAACATAGCTCTTCCCAGTACTGTTGCTATCGAGGATGTAACGAACTGTGAATCGAATACGTCCCACGGTAAACCACGTTATAGGATATTTTTCAGCGGCAATGACGATGCCGAACGACAAACGAACTAGCTGAGCATGCCTTTGTATATTGGCCAGATTTCAGATGACATCGATCTTTTGCCCTTGACTTGCCCCCAAAACTTCAAAATTGATTGATGCCTTCTTGTTATATTGTACCACAAAAGTAATGACGTCAAGGGCATCGTTGTGTTTGGAGTGAAAATTCCCCTTAAAAAGTATAAACTGGTAAAAAACCGCCAGATTAACTTAAAAGCTTAAAAGTTATTTTCTTAGTTCTTGTATGGTTTAGGATTCCACTTTTGAAAATATATTAGATTGGAAAGATTTAAAAAAAAACTTTCGTTAATTTCGAATTATTAATTTATGCTTGTATATAGATATGATTAAGCACATGTACTCATATATTCTTCTTTTAAGACTGTGAATGATCCTCTCCTAGCTTAAAGTGGTTGTAAACAGGTTTGCTAAAAATTTGTATGTGTATCTGAGACACTGATAGCATCAGATTGCACCTGTGGTTCCTGCAATTCCATCTATACTAAGCATTTGATGACGTGATTAGTCGCGAAAGGCCTGATGTGATAAAGCATATTTCGCTATTAGTGGTAATATCAAACACTTAAGTCTCAGTAGGATTTCAGGAACCACAGATGTCTGATTAAAAATTGGAATGGTGCAAATTGATGCTATCAGTGTACGCGATATACATAAAATTTTCAGAAAACCTCTTTAAAATCCCTTTAAAGGAAACGATTGAGCTTACGACATACCATGATTGGTGGATATTATGAAAATGTTATCCAATCAGAGTAAAGGAATGCACAATACTAAAAACCAACAGTTAGGATAGTTTCATTAACAGTCCACTTTATGTTTTGAACGATGACGGGGTCAGTGGCATGTTATTGGTAAATTGGAGCAACCATTCGTAAAATAGCAACGAATACGACTGTTGCGATTGGTTAAATTGAAAATATTTTTAATGTCCAATCAAATAGTCGTATGACCATACGAATGTTTGCTGGCAAAGATTGGCCCTTTTAGAATGTTTACTGTTGTATCTTATAATCTTTTAAAGCTGATGCAAGATTGCTGTTTCAAGCTATATTTTTCTCCGGTGTTCTAACTCCATATTTTCTAATTAATTTGATGATTTTAATTGATTTGTTCTTTCATTCTCCTTTATTTATGTTCCATTTTGAAAGTCTCAAATGCCTTGGTTAGGTCTACATTTATATTCTGTATCTGAATATCAATTGGTTTATGTAAATAACTTAGTAATAATTCATATTCAATATTTATATCACGTAGTTAATATCAGATCTTAGCTTTTATACTATTTCTACATTTCTATTTTTGTAACTGTGCTTAGCTTAGTAGGAAATATGGGAATATATCTATACACGGTTCGTGTTTCAATATTTGGATTTTCACACGACGAAGATGAAGACAACTTTTGAGTTGAGTCTTGCTAGAGGGATATCTATGACTCGATACATGAACGCTTCGTTGATAAGTCTTTACAGAATAAGTGGTATGAACTCATGCGAGTGTTTTTGAAAAATATGGCAATGCTGTTATATTATGACCATGACAATAGATTATTTGATGTTAAAAGTGCCTTATTCTTGTCTTCCTTTTTATTTCGTTATTGTTAAACAGAGTAGTTCCCCCTTGGTCCAATAGGTTTGCTCCCTTGCAATATCTATAATGCAGAGGTGTTTTGTTTTCTTACGTAAACTTTTTTCAAATTTTGTTGCTTTCTTGGACAAAAACTTAATTTTAGATTTTAAATTTTAAATATTATATAGACTTCTATCCGAAAGGAATTTTTTTTTCCATCGAAAATTAGGTTATCACATTGTGTATGCCAAAATATTCTGGTTCATTCTTTTCAGTATATTTTTCTTGAATCATCAAGTGCAGAGTAGTCCTGGTTTTTAAATCCATATACACATCATTCAACTTTTTGGATAGGTTATATTTTTACTATTAATTCAAGCTAACTGTAGATATATTTTGGAATTTGGGATACATGTAACAATAATCCTCTCTTACCATGTAGTAACTGTGATGGCGTGATGTAATTTAGAAATATAGTGGAGAGCTGAGGCACTTATTGTCATTGTCACAGATGGTTTGACGCACGCACTGCACTGAGAGCAACAGCTTTGGCATGATAACTGGACTAACAGCAATTTTGGATTTAATTAAAGGATGCTATTGGTAACTGCTTAGCTAGAGCGGTAAATGTGCTTTAAGACGCTATCGCCCTCCACTATATTTTGTTTGTTATATAGACGATTGTTTATTTATTTATTTATTCTGATTGTTATTGGGTTGTTGTTATCATAGAGAAATAAAGTAGTTTGCTTAAATTTTTTTTTCTACAAAAATGATTTCTGATGATGGGGTTTAACTCATTGTTCACATCCTCAGTCCTCAGTCAAGCAGTCTTTAACTTGATGTCTCGTCTCCCCTCCTTGTTGTTTTGTAGTACCGCAGATAGTCGTAGACCACCACAAAACAGTGATACTTACATGACATTCCAAATAGAAGCGACAGAGAGTTTTCTTGGCGATAATGATTGTCCCAGTGTTTTTAGTTTTCCCAATATCCCAGATAGATGCAAAGCAGTGTTATAATCCCTCTAGTCCCAGTTTCCCTTATCCTAGATGGTTGCAGAGCATCAAAAGCAGTGTTATAATCCTTCAAATCCCAGTTTTCTCATTATACAAGACGGTTGCAGAGATCCAAAAAAGGTAGTTATAATCCCTCTAGTCCCAGTTTCCCTTATCCTAGATGGTTGCAGAGCATCAAAAGCAGTGTTCCAATCTTTCTAGTCCTTCTCTTCCCAATATCATGGATGTTGTAGAGATCCAAAAACAGTGTTCCAATCTTTCTAGTCTCAATCTTCCCAACATGCATGTGGTTGCTGTAGAGATCTAAAAGCAGTGTTCCAATCTTTCAAGTCTCAATCTTCCCAACATCCATGTGGTTGCAAAGCATCAACAGACATGACTTTATGGTATGTCAAACAGAGGTAACATCATTTCTATTGGCAATAAACTGAGCATGAAAATAAAACACATAGAAGACTAAATAAGCTGTTAAAATGGTGATTTAAATCATTCTATTTAAGGTCTTGAACTATGTTCAATGTGACACTTAGTATATCCTTCGTTGTTATATTCATCATTAAAGGTCCTATATCGGAAGTTCACGAAATTTCTCTAAAACAGCCCCAAGATTGCATTCCCCCTAGTCTATTTACAGGTCATTCATTATCTAAACAATACCCAAATGACCTTGTAAGCGACTGCCTTGATTTCTGTTATCTGTAAAATGAACTGATAGGTTAATTAGGTTGTATCACTGTGATAACAATACATTTGTCTGTATATTATGTGTTATCACTAACTGATATGGCACTTGTTGGTAAAATACAGGGATGATATATCGCATGGGGTATTATTATGTTGAACACTATGAGTGGAGCTAAATACAGATAGAAAAGGAACTTTGCATACGGATTTAGATAAACTAATTAGGGAGTAAATGTTAATTGGATTCAACAAATACATAAGTGTAGCTTGTCAAATACGCGTTTTGTGGACGAGCCTTGTTGATTCTGTTCGGAAACTTAAAATTATATTAGGCCTACTGGATCAACTGACCAAACACGACATTTTGGTTGACCATTAGATATTACACAGTACATCCATTGAAATGAAGTGTATTATGTGTATTTTGTTGGTTTTTCATATCAATGATATTTCAGGTAAGTTTAGATTTGATGTGTTTTGTAACATAGACCTTGTGTCCACTCACAAGTAAAAGAAATTTTCATCATCATTCTTTAGATTACGACAATCCATAAATTTTAATATTATGGTAAACACTTTGAAAATACATTGTACACTGTGTCAAAGATACCAATGAAACAATGAACATTGAAAATTAAACGAATATTCCGAATTATGACCAAATTCAAAAACTGTTGATTTTAGTAACATTATCGAACGATCAGATAACTTGTTTAGTCACATTCTGCGAAAAAAAAAAAAATGTCTTTGGCGCCACGAGTATCTTGGTGGCCTAGACTTTTGTGCCAAATGCTAGTTCCCCTAAATAACAAAGACACTCACGCCTTTATTATGATTTTATAAAGCAATCGACGTAAGACATGGAATTATAAGCGATAAACATCACTACGGACAGTGACTAAGCGTTGTGGTACTGACAAGACGAGTAAAACTGCTTACATTTAACTATTGAGGTTGTTCAACGTTGGACATAGATTGTTTATATTGTGTAGATGTAAGAGATAAAATAGTATTCATGTTGCATTTATCTTTCCAGGTCAAACACTGATACTAACAGGAGACTCGCCCTATGCTATTCTCGGTCACCCTTTTAAATGGTGGTGTAATGGGAAAGCGTATCCCGGCGCTGCAGAAGGGATAGCCTTTGAGTTAAATGGCACTTCCATATGTACAGTCCAGATTTCCAAATTTCCCAACAACTGTACTACGTACATCGTCAGTTCCAGAGTACAATGCGGTTGTCAGGACAACAATATGTACAAGTTGTATTTAAACATAAGTGAATCCATTATGGCGGATACCGGAAGTTGGAATTGTAAATTTGAACTCTTTGACTTTCCAAGTTCCCCAGTGAAGCATTTTGTTTATTGTAAGCACGAGTAAGCTTAAACTTTAGTTTAGTTTTGACTTTAAGTCAATTTTGACCCATTTGCAATGATTTTTGTTGAATTGAACATCTTTTCGGGATATTGCATGGACCTGAGAAATGATTCATCAAACACGGTATCCATCGAGTTTCAAATCAAGTGATTCGGCTTCAGCAAACTTCTGGTTTACCATTCTTTTTTTTGAAATATCAGCTGATGAGCTTTCTTAAATTAGGTTTATAATAGTGAGTAGACGTTACTTTTACTGCCAAAAACTAGAAAATCTTTGGCCTCGTAATACCACTCTTCTGCTATTTCAGATGGTCCCAGATCAACAGTTACCATAAATCCGTCAAAACACAACATATTTGTGAAAGAAGGAAGTGAAGTAAAGTTAACATGTACTGCTTCCTGTTTGCCGGTTTGTTCATTCAGATGGTTGAAAGACGGAATTTCAATAGCCAATTCATCCAAGCTCGAATTGAAGAATGTTCAAGATAAAGATACTGGTAGTTATCTCTGTCAAGCCAGTAATATAGTCAATACCAGTAGCACAAGTATTTATATACAGGTACTTGGTAAGCATGTATACTGAATATACAGATATATAATATTATCTTATCTAAAGGCGATTCGGTATCGGATGAATTTCACTAATTAGAGCATACAATCAAAGCAAAGGGAGAGAATCCATTGTTTAATACTCCCTGTGTTGACCAATCATAGATTAGTCTCATAAAGGGGACCATGAGTAATAGTGCCGAACGTCGAAATTTGAGTCTTCAAGTCCATGTGTGTCCAAAATTATCCGCACTTGAAAGTTAAAAAGATGAATGGTCTTTTCTTGAGACATTGCATGTATAGAAAAGACATCTATTGAAATAGGAAAAGAAATTCCTAGTATTTTTGAAGGAATTATGCAATTGTCGTTCATTTCCCCTACTTCTGCAGACTATTTACATATATTCAAGACTCAAATCAACCAAAATGGCGAACTCTCCCTTTAATAAATGGATAACTTATGCAATTATTTAGCTCGATGTTAGATGAGCTTAAAAGACTATTTACTTATTTATTCATATTCAAAATGCCGTTTGTTGCCTTTTGATAATAAAGTTTCAGTTTTTATGTACACCTTGTAATTTCACATACTCGTTAATTTTTCCATCTTCAGATGAACCACTACCACCACGAGATTTAAAGCACGTCTTTTCTACATCTGATACAATATGTTTAGTTTGGAGGGCAGGGGACGATGGTGGTGCAAGTCAATTATTTCACGTCGAAATAGTGAAAAAACCACCAGATCCTTCTACGCCTCTGAACTGGAAACCGGTTGGAGATGATGTTGACGAACCTCTGAATGGTGGTCCAGTCACTTCCTGTTTACATGACCTTGACACTTCAACATCGTACTATTTCCGAGTTTATGCAAGTAATGTACATCACATTGGGAACTCATCTTTGTCGTTAAAAGCATCCACTTCAGGTATAGTTGTATATTGAGTCTCCATTTTTACAGTTCTGTACATCATTTTGGTACACCCTTTATAAAATTTATAAATATTTTAAAACTTCTGAACTTAGCAAAGTATGTCGATATATGTAACCACTTAAAATAGTAAAATATGGATTTTCAGAAACGGATGAATTGTTTTTCATATCAAAAATCATAACAAACATTTTGTCCTCATTAATTGATTCGGGTAGTCGAGATAATTTGCTCCAGGTCTTTAAAGGGAAGATTTCTGACTAGTCCATAGTTTTTGCTGGATTGTTTTCAAACAGTATTTCTGTAGGGCAAAGACAAAAATCTTTCTGGTTATCATAGCTGTTTTGTCGTATTGTTTCAGATCCGAACATCAATGGATTATCTTTTAGCTCTGGATTAGGATTAGGTGTAGTTTTAGGATTAGGACTGGTAATTTTGGGTTTATTTCTGGGAATTTGTATCATTATAAAGCATAACAAACAAAAACACCGTAAGTTAACATTTATGTCATGGCTAAGGGTACTAGTTAATGGAACCACGGAGATCGACAGTACCAGTAGACATTACTGAAAGTAACTAAATATTCCCCTAGACAATCTAGACATCTCTGTCGATTGAGATATCATTCCACCGCTAGCTTTCACTGAAATTTTAAATAACATTGTAAAAGAGCAGAACTTAAAGCGAAACTAGCCAGACTTTTCTTGCACTATCTGTTCCCCGAAGGTGATATACGGTATCGAGATATCGATATTTGGATTGCTTGTTTTTGAGAATGTTCATCATGACCAAATTTGACAATACAAAGTTGAACCATTAATGAATCTATGAAGATATTTCTGCACTTGTTGTACCGACGCAGGCACATGAAAGTCTTGATGGATCAACTTTCAAAAAACGCTATTGTATACCTTTTGAGTCTGGCTCTAACTGTGCAAATATCTCATCTGTGTATCATGACCGAGAAACCAGAAAGGTAAGATTTGTCAAGTTAAAACGAAACCAGAAGATAAACGTTTAGGGCACAAGTGGGAAAGCATGACCTTCCAAAAGGGCTCCAACAGTGAGCTTATATAATATGAATTATTTCTATTATTTGTCTTCGAACGTCTTCGGGTGTTTGTGTTTCTATTGTTGAATTGTGTACAAGATAACAGGACTGGTTTCAGACGGAACAAAGCAACAATGCAAATAAGTGTTCCCGATATACACATATAAACATTTGTTTAATATCCTTTCATACTTACGGAGGTGAAAACGATCGATATAATTTCTTAAATACTGACTCTTTTTTGCAGGTATCTACGATGATTCAGATGGTACACCTTTGGTCAAAAATGATCACCCCGGATGACTTTACTTATTTTTTATTTTTTATTAAAAATATGTACAGCGTACTGTGAAAATATTGCTACTATTGTGGACTATTTTGGTTAAGAGTTGTCGCTCTTGCTATTAAAAAAGTCGCGAAGATGCAAATGTTGCGAAGGGGGTATGGTATGCATCACTGGTCATAAGAGCAAGTCTGTAGTGCAAATCAAGATGAATGAGGCTAAAGGGAGTTCTTAGTGGATTCAAAATTCATATCTGACATTGTAAATGAATTTTTGCTTTGATGTTGTTAGGAAATAAATTGCCTAAAATGTGTGTTGGAGGAAAACCGTGATCTATTATCAGCAGTTTGTTGTTGTATCATAATTGGATAATTTAACATAAAAGCCAAATAGAATCTTAGAGGAAAGTAGGTGGAGCAAGTATTGCAAGTACTGAAGCCCCACCCCTTTTTGAACAAAACTCATGACTTGCACGATCTTGGATATAATTGGATAAAACGGTAACATGATCGATACCGTCTATCATTTTATTTAAGTCATATATACCACGTGTCTTACTCATTAACATATCTAAATAAACTCGTCCTAAAGTTTGTTTCAATGTGTTAACTCGTAAGAACCATGGTATTTATACTACTAAGAAGACACTTATAAATTCCAGTTGTGGTTGCAAAAGTGAAGCGTCATTTGCCTGCATTACAATATAGGCCCGTGTCCACATACACGTTTTCATGGGCGTTTACACGCCACATAATACGCGGCGTGACAGCGCCTAGAAACCCTAAATAGTATTTCCTTGTCTACTTGTAAAAAACGCCACCAGGACGTAGTACAATGCAGCGTAATACCCTGTGTCATTATCAGACGCGGTTTGAAAACCGACGTAAATCGCGTATGTGGACACAGGCTTTAACTCTTCTATTGCAGCTCAAAATAATGTAAAGTTGTCATATATAGGCGTTGTAAAATGAAAGCATGCGTTTATGATTTATACTTTCCGTGATTTAATTATGAATAAGACGAAGGTATTATTAACATGATATAGCTATACATCTTTTATATATTTAGATAATATGATAAAGTGTAAAAAAAAAACCATTTAATACAATCATGACTCAACGAGAGGCGTACTATATAGTCTATGTATCGTCTTTCCCATACTCACAACTTTTATATTGAACCATTACGAAAATTAGGGGTTTCAAACGCACCGTAATGCACTTTCAGTATTTTGAAAGCATTTCAATGCCACTATTGTACTTATAGTTATATTAGATCCAATCAAGAAAAATATTCTGAAAGGGACGGATTCGCCCTCCGTTTGACCAATCATACCTTAGTCTCTGAAACGGGAAATTTAAAGCTAAGTTAATCGGTAATATGTTCGCAGCTCACAGTTGAAATTTGAGCCTTCAAATTCATGTTTATCCAGGATTTATCTGCGTTCGAATGTTAAAAAGACGACTCTTCTTTTCTGAAATGGCGAACCTGTCCCGAGAGGAGTTTCGTTCTTTTCTGTGGTCTTTTGTGTTCAACCACAATATGACTTGAAACCGTTGCCAAATAATATTTTACCAACACAAGTTAGAATGTTGTTCAAATTGCTCTCCAAATAAAACCCTACGCCATCAGAAATTGAAACTTCCATAGTACGTAACTATCAAAAATATGTTATTATGAGTCAGCAGAAAGATTTCATGCTGTCATTTTACTACAAGGATTTTACTACAAGGAAAAGATAAGATTTTCTTAAGATATGAGTTTCAAAAGGTAAATTGTGTTGAAAGGTCGGATTTTTACTTTGAAATCTGATTCATTTCTTCCTATTTTCCTAATTCTGTTATCGTGAAGTCGTTCTACTGAATAGGAAGATGTATGCTTCAGTGCATTTCATTTAAAAGGAAACCTTTTATATTTTATGTATTATGTTGATCTATGCGAATTTTTATTTATACCGATTACCTCATCATTGATTGAAGGTAGAGGGGCCGAAATGGTACTAGAGTCTCGTCGTTCGGATTGGATCATTAATTGAGGGTTCGTGTGGTACAGGCTGTATACAGTGGCATATTTACGCGTTTTTTTTTTACTTCATGCCCCTCCCCACACCCCTTCAGGCATTTTCTAAATGCATCAGTTGGAAATCCAAAAAATAGACCAACGTCGATGTCCCGGAACATTTTTAATCATTGTACACTGCATGGCGTTGTCCGTCTTCACTACCCTAATCCGGTGAAGAAAGGTATGACCTAAGAAAAACCAAATAAAAAATTCATTTCATTAGAATTAAATTTAAGCTAATAACCTCAGTAGTCTAAGTCTAAGTTCAAATCAAATGAAGAGGGTCTGCAAGATCTATTTGGAGTCATCAACTGCAGATTGTTAGTTAAAGTTATATGCACTCCAGTATACTGTAGTTTCAAGTGTCAGTTGTGCATTTTGTATGCATTAATAAAAAATCACAATGAACGTCCTATCATTAATCATAAAAGGTTAAATTTCGCTGGTAGAGATCTGCTTTTTTTTCGTGAGAGCTCAACAAGGAAGTTTATTAACTTTTAATCGTATTTGAATGTTGGCTGCATGAATAAGGCAAACAATGCAATATAATATTTGTTTAGAATGGTATAGTATGGTACAAAGTTAGGAACGATTTTGCCTTATTTAACGAATGTCCTGGTATAACTTATAAGGCATTGCTTATAACTGATTGGATATTACATTGAAGAAGTGTTGAAGATTTGATCGAGTTGAAGTTAGTGTATTACGTGTATTGAAGAGAAGGTAAAAAGATCAAGAAAAAGAGGTAGGAAGACACAACTTTAGTATGATTTATTAAGATTTTATTTTCTATACAATAACATTAACGTACTCTGCATACATGATGTAAATTGTCGAAATTTAAGGGACAGGTGGACCTTTTTGTTGGCAAATCGAACCTTAATCTCAGAAACGGGAATCAATAATAGTATTCACAGCTCACAGTCTAAATTTTAGCCTTCAAATCCATGTGTTTCCAGAATTTTGAAGTTTGAAGTTTAAAATGACGAGTCATTTTCAGACTATGTGATATATAGACACCACTTATATAGAAATATTTCCCAGTTTAAGGCATTTTTGAAGGAATTAAGCGATTTTCGTACATTTCTAGTACTTCTGAAGACTATTTACATGTATTCAAAACTCAAATCAACTCTCCTAAAAGATGCAACTGTTGTATTAGTTGGTCAAGCACATTCTTAATACGGCTTTGTCGTAATTGTATGTTCAATCACACTTTAAATTTAGAAGGTTTATTGTTGAAAATGTCCTATTCAAATACAATTGATTGACACTTTCAAATAGTATTAGCATTGAACGGCTTTATTAAAAGTAAAAATTCACATAAAATTGTTAAACAAAGCTTAATCGGTATAAAAATGGACTCACATATAAAAAAATATTTTCAGAAGATTTGAATACAACACATATTTATTGCACATGACATGTAATACAGGGGTGTAGACCAAATAAGTTAAAGGTTTTCTTCTTACGAGTAAATCCAAGAGTTTTTGAATATAATCTCTTTAGTCAGAGTGACCTAAGAACATTGTTGCTAATATGAAGGAAGTTAAATATATAATAAGGAAATTGAAATCTTTTTTTCTAAATATAACATTACTCAAAGTTTATGACAACTTGTCATCGAGGTATAAATTAGCTAATTGTTTTGTCGCATCTTAAACACTCAAGAGTTCATATGAATCTTAAGACATTAGGTGCTTAAAGGGATTTTAAAGAGGTGTTTCTAGCCTTTTTATATGTATCGGGGACCCTATTTGGGACATTCCAATTGTTCTACCCATGCCTGTGGTTGCTGCTATTCCAGAAAAAGTTAACCGTAAATGACACAGCTTCCGCAAGAGAATTCATAACCATTATACCACAAGACCACAATAACATAATAATATTGTTACAAGATGGCGGCGAATACAACGATAGAAAATTCTTCTTATTAAAGGGACAGTGTGCAGATTTTCATTATTTAAAACGTTGTAAATTATACTTGAAAATATTTCTAAAATATGCTTTTTTACATCTATGTATCTTCTTGATTAAACTGAATTAGTGTTTCAAGAGTTGATTAAAACATTGAGTTTACATGTACTTGTTGTTAAGTTATAAGGTGTTTAAACTAGCTTTGGTGTTGAGCCTCTATATTTTTGTTTTGTTTGTTGAAACCTCCAGAAGAAGTAGGAGGCATTTATTTAGCTAAAATCCACACATAAAATTTCGACAAGCTACTAAAAACATAAAAACATTACGTAAACTTTTTTGACGTAACCACAGGATTTTATTTTGTTATTATTTTCAGAAATGGAAAGGGACACATCTACTAATATTGGTCTGAAGTTTTCTTTGATTTCAGCACCTAACCTTTCGACCTACTAACAAACTCAGACTGTCCGTTTAAGTTAAGCGTAGCGTATGTCATTCGTTCGTGAATGGGAAAAACCTTGTACATGATTGTATGCAATTTGCTGCCTTTGCATACTTGAATATGTAGAAAAACAGTTGCCAATTTTCAATGTGTAGTTCAGGTGGAGTTGCTCTCCTCTTGTCAATTTAGTTCACACAAGTAACTTGACAACTCGGTTATATCATTGTATGCGCGTTAACCCTTTTGGTCACGGCATCATATTTATAACAAAAAGAATATTTGATGTTTCATGATTATTTTGTCAGTTTATATAATGAGCCAAGGGTGTGTTTAATTATGATAATCCTTTACCTTATCCTCAATTGAATGTATGTTTATTAAATTTTATGACAAAAAGTATTTTCTTATTACGGGCCAAGTTCCCACAGCTATTACGAACTTCGTCTTATACCTTGACTACAATAGCCACTTATCATTGTATCACGAATCGCAGGGTTTTGATTGGATTGTACACAAGCAAATACAGCCAATTAGAGCCCTCGACATAAAAACTGTAAACATTATTGTTAATAATGACTGTATTCGCTATCGTACAATCCAATCAAATCTCTGTTTTTATTAACTTCTGTGATATAGGAATAGCGACTATTGCAGTCAAGTATAAGACGAGGTTTGACATTGTGTCTAAAGGTTGACAATGTGCCTCTTGTCATGTTTATCCCGTGTGCTACAGGCTGTGCATGTTAAAGATCCCTCGACAGTTGGAAATCGATAAAGAGCAGGCTAATACCGCTGTCCTGGCAAAATTTCCCTCATGGCACCCTGCATGGCATTGCCCATCTCCATTAGCCCACAAGGTGCAGAAGAGTAGGACGTAAAACTCCATTCATTTCATTTCATTTTCTTGTCATGTATATGAAGCGACGTTTTAAAAATTATAACGAATATTATTACATTCTTCTCTGTTGATTTCAAGTCCCACACTACTCATATTGCGGAAGAATATTTTGTTTTTATTGAGCCTCATGACCAGTCAGTCAGTTAAATTCTTTTCATTCTAAAAAAATGAAGCTAAATAGAGATAGTGATCCAAGATAAAGATTTCAAGTTGTGGGAATTTATTATCTTTTTCCGCGTTATGTATTTTAGGTCAATTTTTAGTTGAATTACCGACCTGCCAAGTACAGTGGAGGGTGTCGCTTCACGAATAGATGATGTCTCTCCGAGTCACGGTTTGTCTACACGGCATTACTCTCGGAAAGTCCAGTTAAAATTGGTATTTGGTATATTTATATATTACTTGTTCATAAAAAAAACATGATATCAACGTAATTTCAAATTCAGAAGCTTATACACATAATTATTGTCTATTATATTTAAAATCTTCGTATAAAAAATGTATCCAAGCACATGTACAGCCATAATATAACAGACAGAAGATTCCTTATCCACAGGAACTAATGCTTATAACGACAAAGTCTTACTGCAGGTATTTATAAATGCAATGTCAACTTTTCAGAAACATCCTTAACAGATGGTTAGTAGGAACCAGACATTCACTCGGAAATACATGGTGACCTAAGCAGAGAAAAAAATGGATATGGTATGGATATTGTCTGTGTGTTTGGTGCTAATTTTAATGATTATTCCTACAGGTATACAATTATCATATTAGTTATTATGTGTTACTTGATGATTACCGAACAGTGTCGTTCTGTTGTTATTTATTGCAGGACTTTCCATCGAATTTAGAACGCCCTGCTTTGTTTTCGTTGTTCGAAAAAAATATTCACTTTTTTTCCGATTTTTTTAACACGAATAGAGACGAAACAATACATGGTGCTGTGTATAATCAAATTCTGAATTTGAAGGATATATTCAATTTATGAAATGCGCATGCGCTTTACCAATTTTTTTTTTCTTATCCAAATTTATCAAACTTAATATGTATGTATTAATCTATACTCCTAGATGTACTTAATCAAATTCTTAAATGAAATTATTAAATTCTTGTTTTGCGCATGCGCATCACCATGTTTCTTATCCAAATTTCTTCAGACTTGTATGTATTTGAATAGACAGGCTCTGAAATGGATGTTTTGGAATTAGTGTATTGCGCATGTCTGACCTATGTACCTTTTTGTCGTAACACGCCCGGCATCAGTACTGTTGATTTAAACAATATTTTATTTCTATATTAAATAAATTTTTTACAGAAAATAAGTAAGGTTTCGGAAAAAACCGAAGTTTATGCTAATGCGGCACCTGATACAAAGAAAAAACACAATAGAGAAAATATGAAATACGCAAATAAATAAATAGTTATTAATATTTAATAATTTGATAATAGAAAACAATTAATTATGTATATTTAAATATATAAATGAAAACGTGCGAAAGTGCATAGGTGTCCACACCAGACAGTACTGTTCTAGAAACAGTTCTAGTTTTACTTAATTTGAAAAACCTTTCATTCTCTTTCTTCTTACTTTATTGATGGTGATTACTAGTGAAATTTTAGATATTATTTGTTTTCCAGGTGGAACAGTTTCTATGTGTAAAAACGACACATATATTGCTACCAGTTTTCAACTGAGTAGACTAAATACTGAACCTACAAACTGTACCTGTTTATTGACAAATACAGAACAAACTCGTACTCAGGTTTATTTTAACATGACATCATCTAGTGGCTGTGGATATAAACTTACTATTTACTTCAACGGAAAAATGCCACCTTTGTCGTGTGATCTTTCTAACTCAACATTTACAGATATAACGTCAGAGACCATCAAATTAAATTATGAACCGTATAGACAGGTCAAAACTGCACCATTTTCATTTAATTTGAATATCAGTTCCGAACCAGGTAAGATAATTTGGATTAATAGTAAGAAAGTTTCAATTTTTTAAATCATGCTTACTATTTGATTAATCCGTGTTTCTAATGAATTATCTATGTCTTCATATGTTAAAATACTGTATGTGGACATAGAAAGGCTTGGGGAAGTCATTTAACTCAAAACTCCATGTTTGTTCGCGTGACAGAATTTTCGTATTTTCATATTATGACCTTTTGTTATTATGAAGAAGATATGGTAAGTTAAAACTAACTTCAATTAATTCATTCTATTTTTATTTGGAAAATGAACTTAAATATATTTTTTTTCGGTGCTGGAGATTGTTAATATAACACCAAAAATCACGAGTGCATGGCTATGGATTAAAAACACCTTATGCAGAACTTATTTTTGTGACTGCTCTGTTCAGCAAGCTAAAATATTTTACTTGAAGAGTTCTAGTGCCAGACACTTTATCTTTTGATTTAAACAATATTTTATCAATGCGTAAAATAAATTAATCAATTTCAAAATATTTACATAATAAACGGAGGATTATTTATTTCCAGGAAATGGACATAATAGTTTTGGATCAACAAGTCCTAGCTTTTGGAGATAGATGTTTGAGAGATGCGCGGACGTAATGCTCAGTCATTGAACAACTACAATGAAACAATGAAGTTCACTGCATATAGAAATTTGACACTTTGGAAATATGACAGATTACTCTCAGGAGTAATAAGAGTTGTATCAAGTTGTGTCGATATGAAAATTCACAGAACATTTCGCAGTGTTACTGGCAGATATACGGACTTCTTAAGGTCGTTCCCAATAAGATGTCCAGAAATTGTGTTTAATGCTTTGTCTAATAATGACAATGACAAATTTTACCATGTTGTATTATTAAATATTGTTAGAACTAATCTGAAGAAAAAGTAATTTTTAAGCAAATCTTGTTTTCTTCTTATCAACCAAATCTTTTATAGCGTCTGGTTCAACGCTGTCGTGGATCACCGGTGTGAAGTAGAAATATTGAGGGAAGGGCCCTGTCAGTTCCTCCAAACTCTTTAACATAGTTTGCAGCATAGATGGAATGTATAAATATAATTTCGATTCTCTCACAGGAACAGCACTATATGTATTCTTCCGCTTTGAATATAGCCTTTGATAACTGAAAGAAAAAATTTAAAATATAAAATGCATGACACACATGTAATAAAGTTTGATTCACTTACTGTAAAAGCGAACCATCCTGATCTGTCGTCTTTTTCTCATACCTTGTCTACAAGCTCTCTTCACTAGTATCAGAAAGTTGTTCCACGCCAGAAACCATGGGTGAACTAACAATACTCCTAGAATTTGACAATTCAAAATTCTATAAATATCAAATATAACAAATTGGTGTTCACTGAACAATGGACATCCTAATTTCTTGGTTATCTTGCACAGGTTGATTAGTAGCTATTTTTATACGCACTGGCTATTTTGTAAACTGTGAATTCTTTGAGCCGCCATATTGTTATTGTTACTTTTAGATACGCTATAGGACATATTTCTCTAGATTTTGGTGTATAGTTTTCACAAATTTGAGCAAAAAGATTTTCAACCCACAAAAAAGGCGAAATGTCCCTTTTATGGCCATGTTTTCGTTCATCCTGCAATAAAAGATTGGAATAAAAATATAAATTATTATATTTTAATACATTACTTAATATGGACCAAGGGACTGAAAACACATTCATATGGAGCGCCACTCCTTTCTTATCAACTTTCGATAATTATTTACAAATTAAACTTCAAAAAAAGGGAAAGAAAAGTGTCTGAAAAAGTCATTCGCATTCGTTTTGTAACACTGACAGTCCCTGGGGGCATACTTAATTTATAACGCACTAACAGCAATGCCAGTGGTCTAGTGTACCAGTACCAATAAGTATCCGCCAATGCCCATGGAGGAAAGTCTTGGGTTCAGAAAAACATGTAACAAAAATGATTGGTCATTATGTACCCCTTCATATCATACCAGGTACGATACCTGTCATTTTCTGTGTTGAAATTCTTATCGAATCCGTGTACTGGTCTCTCTATGAGATATAAGGTAAAGGAAAGGGTAAACTCCCCTATTACCTCCAAATAAGTCTTTCAGAGATATTATGTAGCTAATAATGTTTATATAAAATAGTGATTTAATTAATATTATTTTGAAAACATATTATTGACATCGTTTAAAATTTTTTTTTTTTGTCATTCCTATCCGTATTGTGATGAGGTTTATTATTTCTTTATCAGAAACTAACCTGAGCCTGTCATGCTTCACACATCAAACCACTTCACAGCCTATCACAAGTGCAACTACAAAAAATGGAACTATAACAAATAGAGCTACAATAAACGCTACTAATGCAATTGCAACAAATGGAACTACAACAACTGCAACTACAACAACGCACAATTCGACAGAGAATTCAACTTTTCCATCAACAAATTATAGCTCGACAAACGTAACAGTTCGCAGCACATCGGTCACTTACGCCCTTAACTCGTCCACTTTATCATGGGATAATCCACATAACAAAACGAATATGACAATGATACCGATGACAGATCATGACGGAGAGAAATACAGTAAGTTTAAACATTTATTATTTCCCTGACTTACCATTTCATTTTTCGTGACAAATTGTGAATAAAAGGAACACCTTTTACGACTATATTTCAGTTAATTAAATTGGTATCACGCATTTCTACTTTATTAATAGAGCCGAACGGATTTGTCTTACAAGCCCATAAAACTTTCAATTAGCGTTTTGATGCAGCTTTAGATTGAAATTCATATACGTAATTGGATTTATTCGCCTATACCTGATCAGTGCAGTATATCTTTATCGTCTTAGTTAATGAAATAGTTGGTGGTGTTAGTGGTTGTTTAGTTCTTGTTGCTTGTATCATTGTAATAGTTTGGTAAGTTGATTGTATTTATATTTTTGTTGAAAAACTTAAAAGAATAATGTCGTTTCTTATACAATTTAATCGATATAGTATCGCTCTCTGAAAATTGCTGCCATACCAAGATATTGAACGTCAAAAATAACAACTGTAGAAATACCTTGCATTTAAATTTGTTAATCACACAATTACCTGAAATTTTTATCTCGTAAAAAACAAATGAATAAATGACATCAAATAATTTTGCTTTGTAGTGTAATTAAAACGAGGAACAAAAGAGCTCAGAAAAGAAAAGAGAATAAATTTCCATTCAAAACAGTCGACGGTGATTTGGAAATGTCCCCGAGGTCACCCGATATTTCAAAAAATACATTCAGAAATACTTATACGGGGAACAACCACTCAACAAATCCAGAAATGATCATCACACCAAACGAAGTATACGTTAGTGTTGATTCCTTACGGCAAACCACATTCAATACGTTTAATAAGCGGAGTCCAGAAATGGAGATCATCGAAAATGATCTCTATGTGAGCTCGGACAGTGTTTTTAGAGACCACGCTTCAAACAACCGTAATCTGAAACAGGAAATGGAGATTATCGAAAATGACCTCTATATTAGCTCGGACATAGTTAGTAAAGATTTCTCTTCGGACCGAGGCAATCCCAAACCGGAAATGGAGATTATTGAAAATGACCTCTATGTAAGCTCTGACATAGTTAGTAAAGACTACTCTTCGGACAGAGGCAATCCCAAACCGGAAATGGAAATCATTGAAAATGACCTCTATGTAAGCTGGGACAACGTCTGTAAAGACAGCAATAATCCTAAACCGGAAATGGAAATCATTGAAAACGACCTCTATGTGAGCTCAGACAGTGTGTGCAAAGAAAACCCTTCAGGCAACGGTAATCTTAAACCGGAAATAGAAATAAATGAAAGTGACAATGCAAACGATGAAAATTTTAGTGATCCCAATAAGGAATTTGACCACAATCGACAAAAATTCAAAGCAAGCCCACATTATTATGTAGTGTACCCAAACTGTGATGTAGACGAATATGTGGTCTAGATTCTGATGTGCTCAGTAGCAGACGCTTCGAGCTTTTGAAATTTTGTTTTGTTCTTGTACGTGCCTATCTTGTAGCCACCTTGAGTTACCTTGAGGAAAGACAATATAATCCAGAATCGTTTAACTTCACAACAATACAGAAAAGAATACGTGATCAATATATTCAAAACTGGTATTCAAAAATTAGTGTCTCAATAAAACTGAAATCATACATTTTTTATTACGAAGGTTATGAACGTGCTGCATATTTAAATGTTATTACAAATAAGAAATTTAGAAATATTATGTGTAAATTTAGATCGGGAACCATGAAACTAAAAATTGAAGTTGGTCGATATCTAAAAATCAAAAGAGATGATAGAATCTGCGACTGTTGTAACACCAATATGATAGAAAATTTATTTTTTTCCTATGCTGTCTAGCTTATAGAGTTATAAGAATAAAGTACCTCCCAAGATATTGTTGGAGAAAAACAAATTATTATTATAAATCTGTCAAGATATATTTACTATTCATGGCAAAAACGAAAACAATATCTTGAGAAGTTATAGTCATCTATCAACTGTACTTGTATATAATTTGTATATAATATGTATCTATATAATTAAGTATTCGTTGAATGTGTTCTCCATGATAAGCTACACAGTTCTACACATTCTACATATTTATTCATTAATTCATTGTTATATAACTTATGCTATAGCAATATGTATTATATTGTACATGTAAATGCTGATTGCAATAAATCAAAATCAAAAATACCTATAATTTATAACAATATGACCTGGAATAAAATGGGTAGACTAAATGAAAGGAGGGGTGCAAATATTAGACCCAGAGCTTATCTCTAATGATATAGAAACGCTAATGCCACTATCCTGGCAATATTTCCGTCACCATTAGCTCCATAAGATGCAGAAATGTAGGACGTAAACCTCCATTGATTTCATTTTTTTTTCTAAATACCAATATGTTCTGTAGACGCCTTAATAGCAGTAATAATTACGTCTTATTTCGTACTTATGATGCTATAATGATATTCTAAGTCGCTATAGCATCATAAGTACGAAATGTGTATACATCAATGGATCAACTTTCACTGGTTAAATTTCAAACGTTCCAAAAGCCAACCTCGTCGTCCTCGCCAGTGATTGTTGTTCCTGGTGCTGTATCTTTAAATTGGTTACGTGCTTTTATGATAAATTACAGGAATTCTGAATTCTGATACAGGTGAAATAGGGATATATAACTAATACACATATTGGGAAAATACATGTTTATTTAACAATTTTCATACATCTAGGTATCTTGATCGAGCGTAACTCGAAAACTGTAATTATTATCAATAATATATATTTTTTGATGATGTGCTTTGATTTGTTTTTCAATTACTATGTTTAATAAAAGGGGCGCTACTTCACTTTGTACCTCTTTATGATCTCAATTTTTTATCCACTAAAATACGACAGGATGATGTTCTAGACCCTATTCTGAGTATTCTCACCAAATTTCATCGCAATCGGATATTTTTTTCTGCTTTAAATCGATTTTTTGTGCGTAAAAATATCGCACTCTTCATAGAAGATGTTCGAATGTCGATAAAAGGGAAACTTCAATAGTTAACTGAAAGATGGCCAAGGGTAAACAAACAAACATAAGACCATTTCTGAGACGTCGTGTGGTCTTATTTCCCTAAGATACAAAAATTGTGCAAATTACCCATGTTCAGAGCTCAATAAAACCAAAAGCAATTGACCACAAAAGCAAATCTAGGTGTCTTTAGAGAAAGCAGATATTTCTGTCAAAAGATGCTGAAGGTCAGGTTCATAAGGTTATTGGCCTTCAGAATTTGACTAAAAAATTAGGCAAAGACTAAGTCAAAATTAAAAAAAAAAGGCCTCTAGAGGACCAATGTATTTTTCCAACTTTAAAACATATTTGAGAACAATCGAATTAATGCTGTAATCTGCATTAAAGTTGTACGATTTTTTTGCATTTTTCAATATGGCGGCTAAACTGTTAGGAATGTGTATACAGGGCAAAGGTACAAAATGAAGATATTGATGGTACAAATTTTGTGGAATTACAAATTTGCAAGTTTTTGGAAAATACAATACAAATCGAACAATAAATAAGCGTTTAATGGCAGATTTTTGAAACGCTTTGAAATGTTGTCTGTAGTGACGTTTTGTAAACGTTTTCAAAACTTTCTGTCTTTACTGGAGAGGAAGCCAGCAAGCATGCCACTAATCTATTCTCCCATTCCATCTTAAGCTTCGCACCGACAACAGAGGTCCAGTTTAGCATGCCACCACGTCAAAGAATTACCTAGAAATTATACATATTATAAAGCATAAGATATCACTATTAGAATGCAATATAAACGATCATCCAGAAAACAGAAAGAAAAATTAATTAGCTATTTCTGCATCAGCAACATTGGCGTACCAAGTTGTGAGATGCATACTTTATTTTCTCCAGTTGAAACATAATATGACAATTTATTAGAAAATGCCAAACAAGTTGATTTGGAAATAAGTCAGTCATCCAGTCATCTATCTACTAAATGATAACGTTTTAACATCCTGCTTGGAATATTTTGGAAACAGTCAAGCCCCTACTACGGTGTATATAATCAGGATAAATCAATGTGAACAATTTAATCTGATTTATTTTTATCTCGATTCAGATGTCAAAATATAAATCTTTCCACAATGTTTAAAACAAAATATTTATGTCTCTGTCTTGAAGGTAAATTAGTTGATTTGAGTTTAGTTTTTTACCACAAAGCTTAAGGTACGCTCTTGCCCAATATGGGAGATGGGAGATAGCCCTAACGGAGAGAAGGACTCAGACCACTTCAAATTCTACAGTAATATGTCCCTGGTATTTTGACATCCCCTTCTTTCATTTCTTTTTAGTTTTTGCGTGACTATTGTGGTTAAGATTTTTATTTGGACGTCTGAAATTGGGATTATGAGATTGTTAATAAATATTAAGAGATTTAGATGCAAAAGAATAAAAAGTCGTTTCCTGTACAGTGGTGTATATCTGGTGCTTATCTGGTGTATATCTAGTATATATTATTATATATTCTATTTGTGTGTGTGTGTAGCATGCCACTCTACCTCAATACTAAAATGTAGGTAGGGGGAAATGATAACTGGATCTTTTGTTCTGGGGATGGCGTTTTGCTTTGCAGCCCGGTATTTCAAAATTTCAGTTATATATTTCTTTCTGAATATTGTATAATTATAGGTTTCTCTCTGAATATTGAATAATTATATATTTCAGTTATAGATTTCTTTCTGAATATTGTATAATTATATATTTCAGTTAAAGATTTCATTCTCAATATTGTATAATTATATATTTCAGTTATAGATTTCTCTCTAAATATTGTATAATTATTTATTTCAGTTATAGAGTTCTCTCTGAATATTGTATAATTATATATTTCAGTTATAGATTTATTTCCGAATATTGTATAATTATATATTTCAGTTATATATTTCTCTCTGAATGTTGTATAATTATATATTTCAGTTATAGATTTCTCTCTGAATGTTGTATAATTATATATTTCAGTTATATATTTCTCTCTGAATGTTGTATAATTATATATTTCAGTTATAGATTTTTCTCTGAATGTTGTATTATTATATATTTCAGTTATAGATTTCTTTCTGAATATTGTATAATTATATATTTCAGTTATAGATTTTTCTCTGAATGTTGTATAATTATATATTTCAGTTATAGATTTCTCTCTGAATGTTGTATAATTATATATTTCAGTTATAGATTTCTCTCTGAATATTGTATAATTATATGTTTCAGTTATAGATTTCTCTCTCTGAATATTGTATAATTATATATTTCAGTTATATATTTGTCTCTGAATGTTGTATAATTATATATTTCAGTTATAGATTTCTCTCTGAATATTGTATAATTATATATTTCAGTTATAGATTTCTCTCTGAATATTGTATAATTATATATTTCAGTTATAGATTTCTCTCTGAATATTGTATAATTATATATTTCAGTTATATATTTGTCTCTGAATATTGTATATTATATATTTCAGATGCAGGATTGTTAGGTGGATTGATTAGTTGTATTATTGTGATAATAGTACTCATTATAGTCATAATTTGGTATGTATTAGACCATCTTCCCCATGGCGTTGAATCATCCCTCGCTAATCTAAATACTCGCTATCATCCTCTGAAATTATCTTAATTCTCTCATTCTCCCAACCTTTCCCTTGTTTCTTGGTTGGCTGCCATTAAGACCGACAGACTCAAGCATAAAAATGGAAATTATAATTCAATTCATGTATAGACTGTATTTTATTATATTCTAGTAATGTTAGACGTCATCACCAGAAAGAAGAATTGAACAGCACACCTTTATCAGTAAGACCACCACCAGATGAAGGATATGCCAATTTAGATTTTACATCATCACGTCAGCAGCGAGTCTGATAATAATAAACCAGCAAGTAAATATTGCTACGAATTGAATTGAGACAGAGATAAACTGGTTTGTGTCACAAATGGACAGATTTAAACAATATTTTGTTTCTACACGAGTAAAATTGTAATGTGAAATTGTATAGAAATATAAAATTAAACATTTCTTGTGAAGTAGTCAGTGATATTATTAACCTCATGGAAGTTGGCACAGTTCCAATGATCTAGTTTTCTATTTAACAAAACCATGATGAGTAAAGCTGTAATGTTGCAGAACTGGAAACAATTTACAATACACAAGACATAAGAAGAAAGTCACTGGCAAAGTTTAAACAACAAGTGGACTAAAGGGCACAACCTGTGGTCCAGGTTCTAGTTTCATTAATGGCGAAGATAGTCATGCTAATACGTCAAAAAGCAGCCTGTGTAAGATTCAAGAAGCATGTAGAATTTCTGGTTGATTCTTTGGTATCAGTATAATCAACTTAAGTAACATCCTCTTAAATTCATTATAAAGTTCCTGTAAGTCCCCATGTTCCTTAATCACCGGTAGAATATAATCCATATTCTATCGTTACTTGCACAATCCCATATTCTCGTCATTAATTTTGATCGGTAGAGAGTTTACTTCTCGACCAATAAGATTCTTTGTAACAAATCCGTTACTAAAGAATAGTTCAATGAAAAGAGATCTTAGTACTTTTGAAAGATTTTGAAGTATTTTTGAAAGTGTTTGTGGGTATTAACTGAAATTGTTTTATGTTGATGTTATAAAGTAACGGATATTATATTCACTCATATCATCAATAGATTTACGAATGAATATGAATATAACGAGGGTTATATCAATTCAAATCAAATATATATGATATTTTGTTTATTTATAAACCAGGAAGTTGATAGAGAATACAATATATGTCTTAACTTGCCTTGTGAATTTTATTATATATTAGGTATCGTGAGATAATAGTAAATAATGTAATATACCTAGTATAGAATGTTTTTCATTGTTTTTAATTCATGGATTATAATTTTATATGTGCAGAATACAGTGGATTGTAACTAAACAATCTATAGAATAAGTTTTAGTTAAGACCTTTAAAAAGCGAGTTTTCAGCTCTAAGTTTATTAATGTATACACACAAAAGTAGTGTAAATGTGGCGTTCAATGTAAAATTAATGTGAAAAACAACATTGTAGAGATATCTGTGGGTTTGGATTATTTAATAGACCTACATCTTGTGTTCTATCATGTGAATGGTATTCCAGAATTATTGAGCTGTCGTTAGATATAGTTGTGAATAAACTACACACTTCATCTGATATTATTGGAATAAACTACACACTTCATCTGATATTATTGGAATAAACTACACACTTCATCTGATATTATTGGAATAAACTACACACTTCATCTGATATTATTGGAATAAACTACACACTTTATCTGATATTATTGGAATAAACTACACACTTCATCTGATATTATTGGAATAAACTACACACTTTATCTGATATTATTGGAATAAACTACACACTTCACTGATATTATTGGAATAAACTACACACTTCATCTGATATTATTGGAATAAACTACACACTTCATCTGATATTATTGTAATAAACTACACACTTCATCTGATTTTATTGGAATAAACTACACACTTTATCTGATATTATTGTAATAAACTACACACTTCATCTGATTTTATTGGAATAAACTACACATTTCATCTGATTTTATTGGAATAAACTACACATTTCATCTGATATTATTGGAATAAACTACACACTTCATCTGATTTTATTGGAATAAACTACACATTTCATCTGATTTTATTGGAATAAACTACACACTTCATCTGATTTTATTGGAATAAACTACACATTTCATCTGATATTATTGGAATAAACTACACACTTCATCTGATATAATAGGAATAAACTACACACTTCATCTGATATTATTGGAATAAACTACACACTTCATCTGATTTTATTGGAAGAAACTACACACTTCATCTGATTTTATTGGAATAAACTACACATTTCATCTGATATTATTGGAATAAACTACACACTTCATCTGATTTTATTGGAATAAACTACACATTTAATCTGATATTATTGGAATAAACTACACACTTCATCTAGTATTATTGGAATAAACTACACACTTCATCTGATTTTATTGGAAGAAACTACACACTTCATCTAGTATTATTGGAATAAACTACACACTTCATCTAGTATTATTGGAATAAACTACACACTTCATCTGATTTTATTGGAATAAACTACACATTTAATCTGATATTATTGGAATAAACTACACATTTAATCTGATATTATTGGAATAATCTACACACTTCATCTAGTATTATTGGAAGAAACTAAACACTTCTTACAATATAAATCGCTTATGTTATTGACCATTTCATAGACCATAAAAAGATATAAAGAATACTGGATGTTTAGATTAGTAAGAAGTTAATCAGCAGTTAAAATGTGGAAAACAGTTTTACTTCCAGTCCTTGTCAGTATTTGTTTTGGAATAGCTGGTGGAAACACTAGTAAATATATTTTATTTATATACCCCTTTAATTATATGTCTTAAGACTCGAATTGGAGCACTATTCAGAATCTTAAAGGTACAAGTACGCCGCAAAACAACTCTTTCCTGAAAATATTGATAATTCTAACGTCTAAAAGCTTATTAATAGTATTTTATTTCACTTGATATTTGTATTATTTTCAGTCATTTGTTTCTTATAATTCCAGTTGATATGTGTGAAAATAAGACACTGATCATGAACTCTGTTTTCCTAAACAGAATCTTCAAGATTGCTTCTACCAATTGCTGGTGTCAAATAATATCAGAAACTGGAAGTTTAACTAAAGTTATATTCAATATCTCCACTTTTAGCGGTCAACAATACAAGTTATCTGTTTCTAATGGAACTTCTACCAATTATTTTGAAAACAATATGTCTCCAGATATTTCCTACACTATCAGTGGATCAAACCAGTTAAAGATAAAACTAGAAGAAAATGACTGTTCTGTAAATGATAATTTAGAATTTGGAATTAGAATTAATTCTTACCCAGGTATGTCAATTGTTTTTTTTTATTATTAACTTTAAAACAAGATTATATTTAAAGTCTTAAATGCGCATATCAACAAATAACCCGTTGAATATCATTGTATCATCGAAAATCAAGTTGATACGTACCTATGTTAAGGTGTAAATTGTAAACAGTGATTAAAAATACTAGTATATGTTACCTAGTTTACTTACTTTTTAAATACACTGAAATAATTTTTATTTTAGGTCTGAAATTTGTTTCAGTATATTGTCATGGTTCACTGATACTCGCGATCCAAATTATAAAAGTTATATTTAGCACCAGATTCAATATTTACTTTAAAATGTTTCATTACAACTGAAAATGAATCTGGATTGAAATTATGATTCACATTTTATTACAGACTATATTTATATATTACTTTGTAGGTAATATGAATTTAACTTGTCACAATCCAACTGTTTCTACACCACAACTCTGTACACAGACTACTAGTAAAGTTACAACCACTAGTACAAGTACAGTAACAACTACAAATCCAGTAACAACTACAAGTCCAGTAACAACTACAAGTCCAGTAACAGCTACAAGTATAGTAACAGAACCGTCAGATACTGCACCAACTGGTACTAATACAGCATCATCTGTAGAAATATCTTCAACTGAAAAAGCGTCAAAAGGAACTACAAATTGTCAGAATAATAAAACTAATAACAGTACAGATATGAGTGATCTAGGTAAAAAGCTGAATTACTAACAGGTTTATTATCACAAGTTTTATTTCTACAGATATGTTTCTTGCTTCCTCTTTTGTTCAAAATATTCATATTTAAAGGGTATCGTTTTCATTTGTTTTCAGTTGGGACTGTATATTGAAAAACATCTTAACCTGTATAAGAAACCTAATTTCTCTTGACCACCTGACTGCTACCCAGTAGCGTATTAAGGCAGTAATGATTGGGCCATTTCACTTATAGCTTTCTTCAATATATTCTGTAACTGTTTAGTTTAATATGTCGGTATTTCAAAATGTCAGTTATAGATTTCTCTCTGAATATTGTATAATTTTATATTTCAGTTATAGATTTCTCTGAATATTGTATAATTTTATATTTCAGTTATAGATTTCTTTCTGAATATTGTATAATTATATATTTCAGTTATAGATTTCTCTCTGAATATTTTATAAATATATATTTCAGTTATAGATTTCTTTCTGAATATTGTATAATTATATATTTCAGTTATAGATTTCTCTCTGAATATTGTTTAATTATATATTTCAGTTATAGATTTCTCTCTCTGAATATTGTATAATTATATATTTCAGTTGTAGCTTTCTTTCTGAATATTGTATAATTATATATTTCAGTTATAGATTTCTTTCTGAATATTGTATAATTATATATTTCAGTTATAGATTTCTCTCTGAATATTGTTTAATTATATATTTCAGTTATAGATTTCTCTCTCTGAATATTGTTTAATTATATGTTTCAGTTATAGATTTCTCTCTGAATATTGTATAATTATATATTTCAGTTATAGATTTCTCTCTGAATATTGTATAATTATATATTTCAGTTATAGATTTCTCTCTGAATATTGTATAATTATATATTTCAGTTATAGATTTCTCTCTGAATATTGTATAATTATATATTTCAGTTATAGATTTCTCTCTGAATATTGTATATTATATATTTCAGATGTAGGATTGTTAGGAGGATTGATTAGTTGTATTATTGTAATAATAGTACTCATTATAGTCATAATTTGGTATGTATTAGAACATCTACCCCTGGCATTGGATCATCTCTCGCTTATATAATACTCGCTATCATCCTCTGACATTATATTTGGCCTCTGATTCTCCCAACCTTTTCCTTGTTTCTTGGTTAGTTGGTATTAAAACCGACAGACCCAAGCTTAAAAATAGAAATTATAATTCAATTCCTGTATAGGCTGTATTTTATTATATTCTAGTATGGTTAGAAATAAGCATCAGAAAGAAGAAATTTACAGCACACCTTTAACAGTAAGACCACCACCAGATGAAGGATATGCCAATTTAGATTTTACATCATCACGTCAGCAGCGAGTCTGATAATGATATACCTGCATGTAAATATATTTACGATTTGAATTGAGACAGAGATAAATTGGTTTGTGTCACAAATGAACAGATTTAAACAATATTTTGTTTCTGCACGAGTAAAATAGTAATGTGAAATTGTATAGAAATATAAAATAAAACATTTCTTGTGAAGTAGTCAGTGATATAATTAACCTCATGGACATAATTAAAATATAGTTTGATCGCCTTCCACTAAGAAGGTAAGGATGACAATTGCCTTTCTGATAATTTTGCCACTACCATAATGATCTGCTCCACTTCCACATGAAGAAGCAAAATGCCCTCATTGAATTATTGGTGGTTGTTAGAGTTAATAAATCCAATAACCCAACTCATTTTAAAAGTTCCAATGATCTAGTTTTCTATTCAACAAATCCATGATGAATAAAGCTGTAATGTTGTTTCACTGAATACACTGAGTCCAATTTACAATACACAAGACATAAGAAGAAAGTCACTGGCAAAGTTTAAACAATAAGTGGACTAAAGGGCACAACCTGTGGTCCAGGTTCTAGTTTCATTAATGGCGAAGATAGTCATGCTAATACGTCAAAAAGCAGCCTGTGTAAGATTCAAGGAGCACGTAGAATTTCTTTCCGGTTTCCCGTGGTTGGTATCAGTATAATCAACTTCTGATAAGTAACGTCCTATTAAATTCATAATAAAGTTCCTGTAGGTCTCCATGTTCCTTAGGCACCGGTAGTATATAATCCATATTCTAACGTTACTTGCACAATCCCATATTCTCGTCATTAATTTTGATCGGTAGAGAGTTTACTTCTCGACCAATAAGATTCTTTGTAACAAATCCGTTACTAAATAACAGTTCAATGAAAAGAGATCTTAGTACTTTTGAGACGCCATCTTAAATTTCTCAAAACGCTCAAGCTGGATTCTTCAGGACTTTAGAAATGTTTTATGCACCAATACTGATTAAACCAGCTTGTTGCCAATTTGTTCCACCTTTGACCCTAATACTCCTGGACTAATTTAGGTTTCAAGTCTGTTAAGAATTTTAACAGTGTATTCAACATAATAATAATGACCATTTTTATACGCCCCATTAATTTATATAGTCCTTTGTCTGTCCGTTTTTTCGTGGTGGATTTTTACGAAACTTGGTAATATTATACAGTCTCGTCCCCAAAAAGTTCATAAGAAGTATATGACGGAAGGTTGAATATATCATACTGGTGATTGTTACTGTACTGCAGAATAGTTATTTAAAATCAAAGCTGCCAGTGGGCGTATATTACCTCATCAATTTTTGACCCATGCTGGCCCCCCCCCCCTCCTTACCCCTCACCTGATGTTTCCTCCATACACATAAAAAGTTTTAAAAACCTCTTTACAATCCCTATATTGTCTGTAGAACTCTAAAAAAAAAAAGCTTACATCATAGTTATGAATTGTTTAAAATACGTGAGTAATGTATACAATAGCATCAAAAAATTCTTTTGTTTAGGTCTTTTATTGAAAAACCGAAATAAACGAGATTTTAAATGCCATAGAATCAATATATTCGATTTTGCTTTTTGTTGTCTCGAGACCTTCTGACTCTTATAGAATTCCCCAATAAAAAGTGACTCTTCAAAGTTTTTGCGAAAGATATCAATCGTGAATTTTGGACGATATGAAAAATAAATTATGCGTTGCGTTGGACCTCTAAAGAAATGGCCTTTAAATAGTTCTGTAAGCTTTTAAAATAAATTTGATTGTTAGAAAACACATTAATGCAATCGAATTGGACCATAAGCTCCCAGGTAAAGCGTTGAGTACAGTCACGTTTACATAACGATATCTTTTCAAGTCGCCAAGTCGGGTTCAGAAAAATCAACGAAAATGCAGAACATTATAACTTGTGTTGCTCTTATGGTTTTAGGTAAGTTAGATATTTTATTTTATTTATTTTACTTAATTCTGTATAATTACTGTATAAATTCATTAAAATATAATATAAGATAATAATTTGTTTTTAGATTTAATTTGATGTTTTATCATTCTAATTGTTTTTATCTATTAATCCATGGCCAATTTAATTCAAAACTTGTTCTGTTTTAGTGTCAGCTCTGTGTGTGAATGGCACCTCTACCACTGAAGTTGCATCTACCACTACAGAAACTCCTGTAAAATTAGCTGATATTGAGCTTCCAGAAGATATTAAAACTATTTTTGATAAGTATGCTAGGCAACTATGAAGACTTCTTATTGGAATTGGGCCGCGCTACAGGTTATAACGATTTATTAGCTAAGTTGAAAATTGAAAGAAAAGACTTTACTGAAATGAAACTTGAAAGCCCTTTTAAAGATTATCTAGGTAAGTATTTTTGAAAAAATATTTGATGTGAACTATCTGAAAGGAGTGTTAAGTGCACATTTTACATTGATTGATGATTTTTTGTAAGAGATATAAACATACTTTATAAACAATATTAGCTATGTGGACTCTCTGAAAGGGATACCGAGTTGAAAAAGCTAAATGCCACATTAACAATATTAGCTATGTGGACACTCTGCAAGGGGTACCGAGTTGATAAACCTAAATACCACATTAACAATATTAGCTATGTGGACACTCTGCAAGGGGTACCGAGTTGAAAAAGCTAAATGCCACATTAACAATATTAGCTATGTGGACACTCTGCAAGGGATACCGAGTTGATAAACCTAAATGCCACATTAACAATATTAGCTATGTGGACTCTCTGCAAGGGAGACCGAGTTGATAAACCTAAATGCCACATTAACATTATTAGCTATGTGGACTCTCTGCAAGGGATACCGAGTTGATAAACCTAAATACCACATTAACAATATTAGCTATGTGGACACTCTGCAAGGTGTACCGAGTTGAAAAAGCTTAATGCCACATTAACAATATTAGCTATGTGGATTCTCTGCAAGGGGTACCGAGTTGAAAAAGCTAAATGCCACATTAACAATATTAGCTATGTGGACTATGACAGACGATCATGCCAGATAATGTGTGACATATGTAGTTTTGGCTGGGGAGCGTGACCAGAAGTAGACAAAAAAAAAAATAGTCATTTGCAAAACAATGGCTGCAAAAAAATCACGAGAAAAAAATGGTTTCAAAATTAACTCGTCTTTTTCAGATTCAGTGAATAGTTCAAGTAGAAATGGTGTTACTATAGTAACATTTTTCATGGTTTCTGTGGTCTCAATGTTGGTACCCTGTTTGAAATAATTCTCTTTGTTTTATATTTTATCTTTGTGTTTGTTATATTTAGGGGTAGGGGGTAGGGTGCTGCTAATATTTAATATTTAGTAATAGTTATATCTTTATATCTTATATTACATTTATTGAAGAATTTATTATAGACCATCGACATTGCTGGAAAAACCTGTTATAGACCATCGTCATGGATTGAAGAATTTATTATAGACCATCGTCATTTTTACATCAAAACATAGAACTGTTTACTTGTACTAACTGGAACACCAACTGACGTCTACTTCCGTTTCTATTGACTTAGTTTCTCGCTCTACATGCATCGTTTACTTCCGGTGTGATAGAAATATATTCATGTAATTATTAAGTCTGTAATTATCTTGCAAAATGAGTCCAAACAGTATTGGTTATTAACAAAGAATATCTAACAAGTCAGGTGCTATAGTAAAACCGCGTATGATCAAATGTATTACAGTGGTGTAACCGACACTCCGACAAGACATTTGAGTCTTGATATTCGCGAATTGAAAAGCACGTTTTTATCACGCAGACTGCAATAAAAAGTTGGAATGTTTTTATTACGTATGAAGAAACGAAACAATTAATAAGTCATTTTTCAACATCTATCTGAAAATGATTTATTTACTGTTTCGTTTCTTCGTCGGAGGAACCATGACACCGGTCACTATCTATTTGTGTTGTCGCAAATAATTTTTCGATCGATTTTGTCCTACCGATTGCGACAATTGATTTAGAACATGAAAAATCGATCATCGGTAAAGTCATTTTCAAACACACCTTTCAAAGCTATTTTCACACGAACGCACCTCAAGGGAGGCCACTCTACCTCTAGTCGCAGACAGGTATGGTAAATGAAATGAAATGGATGGAGTTTTACGTCCTACTTTTCTGCATCATGTGGGCTAATGAAGACGGGCAACGCCATGCAGGGTGCAATGAGGGAAATTTTGCCAGGACAGCGGCATTAGCCTGCTCTTTTTCGATTTCCAACTGTCGAGGAATCTTTAACGTGCACAACCTGTAGCACACGGGGCCTCGGTTTATTGTCCCATCCGAACGACTAGACGCTTTTTCCATGTCAGCCCCCCGTACCTGCATCACTGACAGGGGGAAACCGGGTTGACAAGTCCGAAGGTATTATCTCGACCTATGCCGGGATTGAAACTTGGACCTTCAGGTTAGCGAGCAAGCTTCTAACTCACTGAGCCACCGCGGCTCCCAGATTGGTATGGTAGACGACATGGAAGAAGGCATAAAACACATTTGTCCCCATCTAGGGGACAAAACAAAATCATAAGTATGGAAATACTAAAATTTAATGAAGACGGGCCACCCATCAAATCCAATCTATATATATGACATCTGCCAAGTTAAAAGAATAACCATGTATGAACAACCAATCTTCATTCTAAAAAAGGTATTTTTGGTATTAAAAAGACAACAATGATGAAAACACATGCTATTCCTTTGATTTATTTCATAGAAACATTCTCTAACTAGCGTCACATCCAGCCAGGTGCTCGTGGGGTAACACATGGCAGACGACGTTTCAGTACAGTACTAGAGTACCGTTATTGAAAATCTTATCCCCTTTATAAATGGTCTGAACATCCAATATCATTAGTAGAATTTCTCAAATTATCCAGTTTGTTATAGAATGATCAAAATTATACATGTCTTTATTGTTAATTACGGTACACTTACAAAGCACAAGGTTTCCAAGAGTGTTATGAGTAAAAGTGATGGATTACAGCAG